AGGCGAGATCCAGGGCGGGCCTTCGCAGGAGGCTCGGAAGTCCCCCCGGCCTTCCGAGAAGCTGTCCAATCGGGGCCGAAAAGACGGGGGTCAGTGCAAACGGGGGTCAGCCATGGCACCGGATCGTGCGAAGACCCCCTCTGGCTGACCCGGGTCAGCGAGCCGCTCGTGGCCGCTGGGCGGCCGCGCATATTGGCTGACCCCGGTTTGCGAAGACCTGCGTTGCAGTTTTTCTGTTCTGCATTGCAGTTTTTTGGTTTCCTGCTGGCCCCAGTTTGGATTGACCCGGGTCAGAAGATCCCCGATCTACGCCATCCCCGACGATTCGAAGAAACTTTGCCATAAGCATAAACGTTTGGCGTTCCGCGCGGATTTCTTGGATCCGCGCTGGGCCCCCCCTGGCGGCGCCTCCAGCGCCGCTCCCGGTGCGTCGGCGCCGCTCCTGGCGCGTTCCGCGCACCAGGGAGGGTGTCAGCGCAGATTCAAGAAATCCGCGCGGAGAGCCAACAGTTTATGCGTATGTCGTTCTTCCTCTTCTGCAGGAGACACAGAGGGCACTTCTCGGGAGGCGCGAGGGCTTCTGAGAAGCCCCGCCGCCTTTGACAAGGCCTTCTCCTCAATTCCCCCCCTCACTCGGCACACATGCGGGCAATACTTATATCCACATCCAGTGCGTCTTGGACTTTCTTGGAGCGGGCGCCGCAAGGCCGAGGCGCACTGGATATGGATAATATTTAGCCTTTGGGGGCCAGATTTTAATCCATATCCAGTGCGCCTCATGTCGTTGGTTGGGGAAGAGAGCCCGAAACTCCAAGACGCACTGGATGTGGATATAGACATTGCCCGCAACAAAAAATCCTCTGCCTTAGATGAGGCCCCCCCCCCCTCTCAGGAGGGCCGCCCCCCCCCCCCTGGCGCCGCCCGCCGCGTGCGCGCCGCCGCCCCTGCTATGGGGCGCGAGCGCCCAAGCCGGAGAGGACTACTGGACGCACCTGGCGTGCTTGGACGTGTCCTACGGCGCCTGGATGCTCCTCTCGAGGACCAGGAAACACGGCATGCGGTCAAGTTGTTGCGAGAAGTCAAGGGAGGAAAAGCCACCCGCACCCGAGAATCCTCGTTGACGAAACGGCCTTGGGCGTTCACGAAAGAGCCCTGCCCTGTTTGATGCCTTCTTTGGGTGCGTTCGCTGAACGACTTCGCGTGTCCGGCATGCATCGAAGAAGAACAAAACAGGTAAACATAAATTTTCGACGCTCCGCGCGGATTTCTCGGATCTGCGCTGGGGCCCCCTGGCGGCGCCTCTGGCGCGTCCCCTGGCGCGCTCCGCGCTCAGGGGAGGGGGTCCCAGCGCAAATCCGAAAAATCCACGCGGAGCGTCGAAAGTTAATGTTCAATTGTTTGTTCCTCATATGCAGTCAAGATTGGTGACAGGTCTCACGCCCTACGCTGAAATTGGTGGCAGGTCCGATGTCCTCGGGCGAAGAGCGTGCACAGATGGCCCAGACACGGCCAGAGAAGCGCCCAGGACTCCCCAGGAAGGTTCCAATAGGACCTCGAGACGCCCCAGAGACACCAACACCGTTGATTCCCCTAAGGTTTTATAACGATTTTGGCGATCTGGAATTGCCGACCGCCCTGGACGGCCCAAGAGGCCACCAAGATCGCCTCAAGGTAGCTCAAGACACCCCCAGACGGGCCGGAGACTCTTCTGCGAAGACGATAGCAGAGGAAAAACCACCCAGACCCCAGCCCTAGTGTTGGCCGCTTGGGCTTCGTGGGAGATTCGCATTCGGCACGCTCGTTTCCCTCGTTCAGGCCACGGTTCACTGCGCGAGTTTACCTGTCGCAGGTCGGCTCGCGTCGGGATCCCGGCTTGCCCGGCGACCTCTTGATTCGAACCGCGGTTGAGGCCGAGACGTGTGACGCTCAGTGGTCGCGCTCCCAGGGCCACGTTGGGCACAGGAGGGGCTCTGTTTCTCGGGCCGTTCCGGAGGTCTCGGTCGGGGATGCCGTGCGTGGCATGGGGCACGCCGTGGCCTTTCGTTTCTTAGTTTGTCTTCGTTGTGGCAGCGAGCAGAGCGCAGCGTCCCGCTGCTGCGGGATGCCGGTGATGGGGGCGGGCGCGGGGTGGGTCGCGGGGTGGGTCGCCGGGTGGGGGGGTCGCAGGCGAGGGCGACGACAGCAGCATACGGCAACAGACAGCAAGAATCCGGGCCACGGAGTCCCATGTCAGTCAGGAGGGGAAAAAACACAGACGCAATTAATCGTCGAGTCCCAGGAAAATATGGGAAAATATGGGAAGTGGGGGGGAAGACAAAAACCCAGGAGATATAGCAAAACATGGGGCATGTCTTTATTTGTGTGTATTTATCTGTGTGTTCTTGGGCCCCTTCATTCAGCCAGGCACCCAGGCTCAGTGGATGGCCGTTCGGCCCTCTCGCTCTGACCTTCGACAGCTTCTGTGCATGCTGTATTTTGGTCCCCGGCTCTCACCATCCTCGGCGTCAGTTGGCACCGCGCGCTGCTGGTGGTGGTCACCATCTTTTCGGTGCCGTTCTACCTGTTCCAGAGGATTGTCATGGCTGAGGAGGCTATGCACGTGGGCGCGTGAGCCCTCGCGTGCGCGGAATCACGCGGCGGTGGAAAAGATGATTCTTGTAGTTGACGCCTTCTCCGCCCGCGCGCTTTTCAAACTTGCACGGGCTTCTCGCGGAGCGTCTTGGGGCAAGCGCACAGTACGCTTCTCATCCCCGCGGGTTCCCACAACCGCAGTCGGGCAACACGTTTTGGGCCGCGGGCGCTCACCACCGGACCCGCAACCGCAGTCGGGCAGCACGTTTCAGGCACGGGCGCCCACCACGCCTGGCGCCAGCAGCCGCATCCGCAACCAAAGTCAGGCAGCACACTCTGGGCCGCTTGCGCTGCAACCTGCAACCCCAGCCCTCACCTGAAGTCGGGATGACCCTCTACAGGAAGAAAAGCCAATCTCAGTTTGAAAAAACAGTCTGGTGATGTTTTTTGTTAAGCTCGTTCGACTAGTTTGGGTAATGTTTGACCATGTCTTATTTCTCTTACCCCGGCTGTAGGGGACATGCCCGACCTAACCCCAACCGGGCAGCAAGTGGTGGCCACGGGCGCTCGGAACCGCAACCGCAACCGAAGCCAGAGACACACCTGCCGGGCTGCGGGCGTCCGCAGCCGCACCTGCACCCGCAGCTAGGCAAGACGTTTGGGCCCGCGGCTCTCGCAGCCGGGCAGCGCATGTTGGGCCGTGGGCGCCCAGGGATACCCCCGCGGCCTCCCCGAAGGAGCACCGGCGGCCCCGACCTGGCGGCACACCTCGGGCCGCAGGCGGCCGAAGCCACACCCGGGCAGCACATGCCGTGCCGCGGGCGCCAGCCCGCGCACCCGCAAGTGCAACCGGTCAGCACGTTTTGGGCCGGGGGCACGCGCAACCGCAGAACTTGGCATCATCATCGTGATGGTCCCGATCACCATCTCCATCACCATCATCACCATCACCATCATCATCATCATCATCATCATCATCATCATCATCATCATCATCATCATCAGCATCAGCATCAGCATCAGCATCAGCATCAGCATCAGCACCACCACCACCACCATCATCATCATCACCATCATCATCGTCACCAGCATCGTTACCATCATAATCATCGTCATCATCATCATCATAATCATCGTTATTATCATCATCATTATCATCATCACCATCACCATCATCATCATCATCATCATCATCTTCATCATCTTCGTTATCATCGTCATCGCCATTATCATAAGCATCATCATCTTCATCATCATCAGCACCATCACCATCTCCATCATCATCAGCATCGTCATCATCATCGCCATCATCTTGAGTGTATGGTTGGTGGAGCCTGCGTAGCTGCTGTGCGTGACTCTATGAAGCAATGAAGGCCATCCTCCCCTCCCCTCCCATCCGGTGAAACGATGACAAAGCCAGCACCCTGAAGCGTTATCCTTGCGTCACGCGAGCGGGGCCACTGCGGTCTTCATGGGACTTTTCCGACCGGGCCACGAAGTGTGCGAGAGTTGTGCCGAAATAGAGAGTCACAAGACAGCGCCCCGCTCGAGTTTCGCCACAAGCCCAAACGGCGAGGACTCGTTGCTTGTAGGTAGTATTGCACTATGCACATATGTATCAGGGTTTATTGCTCTGAGCATTCTTCATGCCTTTCTCTGGGACGGTCCAGTGGATTTGTTTGTTGGGTGCTAAGAGAATATTATGGTGCCAAGGGGGCGATACCCCATGATGGACTAATTACCTCACGCGAAGGCCGAAACAAATCAACGTTTCAAGACAGTTTTGATCAGCAGTCACAGAAAACAGTTTGCCCAGCGACGAACACCTATTTATAAAGCGCGCTATCAGACAATATCCAGCACGCTTTCAAGAGTCCTTGCAGCAAGTTCAGCGCCACTGGAGCAATCACAACTTGCATCGGTGTCAGTACCCTCGTGCGACGGCACGAATGTCAACACATCACTTTCCCCATTTCTTCGCTGCAGAATTTGCGGTCGGAGGGGGGAAACATGTTTTGCGTGTTGCGGTTCGTTGCGATGTTTTAGGTATCGTTCCGATGAATCCGCCCCGCGATTATTTGTTTTCGTTCCGGTTCTAGCGATCACACGAGGGTTTCCCCAATTGTTTCAGAGGGTTTTTCCCTACCTCGCTGCTCCCCGCTGCCTTCCCCTCCCCTCAGGATCCTTAGGGGGGGTCTGCCCTCTTCGCCGTCGCTCCTTTGGGCTCAAGGGCCTGTGTGTGATCCGCAGCAATGGTTTTCCTGGCGGGGTTCCCAGCAGGGCGCGGGAACTCCTTGACAGGCTCCGCGGTTGGAAGCCTTCGACTGTGCAGTAGGCCGCCGATGTCGAGGCGTTGACGGGGGTTCGCGAAGAGCCTCGAAGACGACCTCGCGGTGCCGCGGCGCGTGGAGCCGCCGCAACTGGCGGCGATGGCAGAACCAGCCGGGGCCCGCGTCCTCGATGCCCTTCGCGGCGGTGAGGCGATCCAGGTGGAGGAAGGAGGAGGAGGAGGAGGAGGAGGCGGAGGAGGAGGAGGAGGAGGCGGAGGTGGAGGAAGGAGGAGGAGGAGGATGACGAGGAGGAGGAGGCGGAGGAGGAGGAGAAACTTGATGGCCTGGAGGCGATCCCACGCGAAGCGGAGGTCGCCCCTGGCACCCTGTGCGCTCCGATGGGCACGACGACGTCGACGGGCAGGCGCAGTGCGCCGACGCGTGGCGCGTCGCGCAAAGCGCGCTACCATTATGTCGGGCCTCCGGCAAGCTGGGGGCCATTCCCGAACGTCGCCTGGCGCCACGAGTGCGCGCCCGACCCGTCGGTCACGGTCATCCACGTCGAGACGTCCCAGGGTGTGAGTACATTTGGTTTGATCGCTTCTTCGGGAGTCGCGAGTCCGATCCGTCAATCGCGCGGCCCGCCGCGGTGTCGAGCGAGCCCCCAGCGGATCGCGACGCGGAATGCAAGTTTGGCCTTGGAACGCTTGTCTCCGGCGGGGGAGGTGGTCAGGGTTTCGCATGGGCGCTAGAGGGGTGAGATGAGGGCTGCATCCGTTTCGACCACTCTCAGTGGGTCCGAAAAGTGGAACCGATCGGGGGGTCATCGTCATCATCACCATAATTACCATCATATCATCATCAGCAGCATTCTTATCATCGTCGTCCCCGTTGTCATCGTCGCCATCACAGTCATCGCCATCAGCGTCGCATCACCATCGTCGCCACGAACGATACAAGCGCCGATCGAAGAAAGACATTCGCAAGTCCAAGAACACAGTGCGCTTCCAGGGTCTCGGTGTGCATGCGTTGCGCCGCTGGCCTCGCTGCTCGGTGGTCTTCGCGCAAACCTCACGGCGTGGTGAGCAGGGCGCTCAAGCGGAATAGGCACGATGAGGTCCTCACGAATGTGTTTCAGATGCTTGGGTACGTTGGCAAATTCGTCCCATGTGGCAACTTTGAACAGCCGTTCGCGAATCACTTCTTCAAACAGTATGACGTGGATTGGAAAGAAGTTGCATAAAACCGCCTCCAGTGAAAGCATGGGGAATCGCAGTGTACAGCTGTCGGACTTGTGGAGTTCGGGAACAGCGCTTGCCTAGGCGAAGCCTGGCTGCGGGCGCATGGCCGATGGAGGTCCGCCTGGTTCATAGCAGGCAACAAGAAAATCACAGTCGTCCCTATCACTGTGAGGAGTCATGTTCGTCAGCATTCGTACCCTGGAGGACGCCACGGGGTCTGCGCTGGCGGGAGCTACAAAACATCTGTCAGGAGGGACGACGAGGTCAAGTCCGGAACCGCTGTTGGGCCACCTCAGATTCCCAGACGGCTCCAATACGCGCCCACTACACCATTGCATTTGCCGCCGTCGCAATTCACCGTGTCCATCATCGTTGCAATCACCGTGTCCATCGCCGTTGCAATCACCGCCGTCGCATTCGCAATCGTCACCGCAACCAAACACATTTTCGACTACCCACCTGGCCATCAATACCGATACATATACGGCCCCTCGGGCGTTGACGGCGATGCTGACCTCTCGGGCACTGCAGCGGGGAATCCCCATTCTACGCTGCTGCCCTTGATTGTTGCTTTTGGGGTTCTCTGCATGCTAGTAGTAATCCTGGCCAGCGGGAAGGGCGGGCAGGTTCGAAGTTATGGGTTCGGAAAGGAGTTGTTGTTTTTGTTTGGTCTCCGGGTGCCATTTTCGGGCCAGGGCACCGTGAAAGACGTATCTGGTGTGAAAAATCCTGATGAATCCTGGGATGGGGTCCAGGACCAGATGTTTCCCCAATGAGGCCTGCATAAAGGGGTTCTCATTTGGGTAAAGGTTGGTGTCTCGGGTGGCTACTTTGCCCGTTCCTCGGAGGTTCCCCGGTTTCCTCGGGTTCTCGGGTTCTCCGGGTTCCTCGCCTTCGGCGCCTCCGATTCTTACGTTGCCCGTTCCTCGGAGGTTCCCCGGGTTCCCCCGGTTCCTAGGGTTCTAGGGTTCCCAGGGTTCCCGGGGTTTTTTGGGCTCCCCGGGTTCCCCGGGTTCCTCGGCAATGCCAAAGAATGCTTACCAATGCCAAGCGATGCCAAGCAGTACCAACCCATGCCAAGCAATGCAAACCCATGCCAAGCAATGCCAACCCATGCGCCCAGCGAAGCGCCCATGCAATAGGCTTTCCCCAAATTGGGGTCACCCCGGGTTCATGAGTGGATTTGGGATTCTTTCCCCCCCTGACCAATCTTCCTGGTGCGCGCGCCAGCTCAGACCATCTGCGTCTCCAACATCCTGAGGCCTCTCAGTGGGCCATGGTGGATGCTGTCATGCCGAACGTCTCCGAATCTTGGGCGGCCGAGGAGCTGTCTGAGGTGAACCCGGCGACCTTCCGGAGGCGCTTGCAAGATGTCCGAGGGCGTCGAGGGCGCCGGTGGCGATTTCGGGGGGCCTGGAGGGCCTGGCAGGCGCGCTGGGGGCAGCTTGCCTCCGCCCACCCTTCCAACGGGACGTTCCACCTCGCCAGGAAACGCGAGGAGGGGGGGAGGGCGGCAGCCGAACAGCTCACACCTCTCCCGCGCGGGCGGGCAGGTTCAGGAGGAGGAAAAAACACAGACACAATGAATCGTCGATTCCCCCAGAAAATATTGGAAAATAATTATGGGAAGTGGGGGGGGGGAGACAAGAACCCAGAAAATATGGGAAAATATGGGGGGTAATTTTTCGTTGTGTGTATTTATTTGTGTGTCCTGGGGCCCCTTCAATCTTACACCTCTCCCGCGCGGGTGGGCAGGTCCTGGCTCGCGGTGGGGCCTCGGCGTCCGAGTTCGCGGGCACGTCGACGTGCAAGCGTCAAGGCGTGAACTGCAAGCCGAGAGCGTTTGGAAACCCGTATCATACACGCCGCCAGCGTGTGCGTTGGCAAACGGCATTTCAGAGCCCCGAATCATCAGGGGTAACTCGGGTCAGGGCTAACTCGGGTTCGTTTTTCGGGAATCCGAACCCGACTTACCCCGGACCCGAGTTACCCCGGATAATTCGGGCGTCCAGAACCCCACATCATCAGGGGTAACTCGGGTCAGGGCTAACTCGGGTTCCTTTTTCGGGAATCCAAACCCGAGTTACCCCGGACCCGAGTTACACCGGATAACTCGGGCGCCCAAGCATTGCTTAGAGGTCGTTCAACTTCGCCCCCCCTGGCGAAAGCGGACACGTTCAAGAGCTGCGACAGACTTTAAAAACATCGCCATCATCAACATCGTCACCATCACCGCCCTTACGGTCATAAGTTTTGCATCGCCTGCCGCGTACGTTTGAGACGTGGCGCTGGCATTGATGAGACACGAGGGCGAAGAAACCAATGAATTGAACAAAGGAGAGCTTCTCACCTAGAGAAGTCTTGCTATCTCCCGTGGTGCCGTCATATTTGGAATAACCACTGTGGGTGTCGTTCTTTTCACCGACATGTCTGAATATCGCTGTTCTGTCTCATGGGGTACACGCATTCGGCCCAAGTGGTCAGTTCTGATACCTGGCTGCCTGCGGCAAGTCCCGCCACCGTGCCAGCCCAACATCTAAAGCACAGTAGAATGCTCAGTGTGGGCCACAAACAAAGAGACGTTGCGCCGTTGATGTAGGAGCTATGTCGTGTGATCTATGAGGCGAGATCGACGTGGTGTGAACCGCCAGGTGTAAACTACGCGACGCAGTGTGGTGCGAGCTACGCGGTGTATTTCCTGTGGTGCAATCTATACGTTATGAGCTCAGTGGCGTAAGTTCCGTCATGCAAAATATGCGACGACATATATACGACATGAGCTATGTGGTGTGTGTACGCTATGTGGTGCAATCTACTTTGTCCAATCCATGCAGTGCAAGCTATATGGTGTAAACAACGTTGTGCAATACATGTGATGGGAGCCATGTTCGGTGAGCTATGCGGTGTCAGCTATGTGGTATACTCTGTGTGGTATGAGCTACGAGGTGCAAGCTATGTGGTGCAATTGGTGTGATGTGAGCTCTGTGTTGTACGCACGTTGCGCCCACGTAGCGACCACGGGCGGCAAAGTGGCGAAACCTCTGCGCACCCACCCAGCGCACGAGGCGGCCACGAGGCGGCCACGGGCGGCAACGTAGCGAAACCTCGCCAGACCCTCCCAGCGCACGAGGCGGTCACGAGGCAGCCACGGGCGGCAACGTTGCGAATCCTCGCTGGATCCACTCAGCGCACGAGGCGGCCCCGGGTGGCAACGTTGAGAATCTTCGCTGGACCCTACCGAATCATTAGCAAGAGAAGGAAGAACCGCTAAGTGCAAGCGTTGTTTAGGGAATGTCACCGAATGTGGTATCTCGTGGTGGGGTCCACGGCAAATGAGATGATTAGCATATCGTGGCTCGTTCTTGCAATAGTCTGATAGTAACAATACGGCTGATATGCTTGACGCTTCGCGTATCCCCACCAGTTTATCGCGCTTGCACCTTTCGGACTCTGTTCTTCCTGGTTGCGCGCCGCCTTCACGGGTCTGCCCGTCTGGTGGCACCGCCTCGCTGGGCGGACGTTTGGTCTGTGGATTCAGAACAGGTCACGACACCTCCTGGCGTGCAGGATCCAATTCACCCGGTTCTATTTCTAGGTCCCGCACGTGTGCAGCAGCTACCCTGGCCGTTTGCAGCCAGCTCAGCCAGCTCAGCCTCAGCCAGCTGCCTCCCCGGCGGTAGGTTCTGATCCCGCGTTCGGTCGGTGTGCATTTCGGCTCGCGCGTAGCTCCCCCCCTCACGCCGTAAGCGGCTCGCCCGCGCGTGTAAAGTAGGTCGGCCCGTGGCCCGGACCTTTCAACTCGGCGCCTGCGCTTTCGCTTGCGCCCGCGAGAAAAAAGTATCCCCACCAGTGTGGCGTTGCTCGTTGCTCTGTTTTTCTCTAGCTGGTGGCACAGCCTGCCCCTGCTCGCCCGGCCTTCCACCCGTTTCGCGCGCCCGCGTACCAAAAAGTACCCCCACCAGCTTTTCAGGGACGATGCGCATGAGAGCTGACGGGGGGAGAGAGAGAGAGAGAAAGAGAGAGAGAGAGAGAGAAGAAAAGACATGCATAGTCAAACGGCGAGGGAGGCCGGCCTGGACTGCGTGGTGGGGCCACCTCCCGGCCCGAGGAGGAAGAGAAGAAAAACGAACAGGACGAAGGCGAGGAGGAGGGACCAGTGTAAACCCAAGAGTCATCAACGCTGTTGGAATTCACCCTCCCTCCAAGCTCCCTCTTCGTAGGCCCCTACAACAGTTCATTTCCATTGATGGAAGTGGCTCGTTGGAAGTCAACAGTTTGAATACCCTGAAGCATGCTAAAACAATGTTCTCGGACTTCCAACGCCGCGGATCAACTTGACTGCTGCGTCTTGACGGTCCAGAATCGTGCCAGAGCGCAATTCTGGGACTTCCACACCGCGCATCAACATCTTTGTTACGCCTGAATCCTTCCACAATACCTTTTGTGGTACGCTGATCATGGGAACCCTTGAAACTCCTGCAATTTGTTCACACGAGTGCGCGCGGCGCTAAGGCGACATCCACAAGGAGCCGCCGTCAATACGCGAAATTATTGCAATTTGTTCAGCGAATGTGCGCGGCGCTAAGGCGAGAGCCACATTTTGAAAACGTCCCGCCCTCAATCCCTTGAAATTCTTGCAACTCGTTCAAGCGAGTGCGCGCGGCTATAAGGCGAGAGCCACATTTTGAAAACCACCCGCCCTCAATCCGTGAAATTCTTGCAAATGTTTCAAACGAATTTGCGCGGCGGTAATGCGAGAGCCACAATTTTGAAAACCACCCGCCCTCAATCCGTGAAGCTCTTGTAATGTTTAAAAGGAATGTGCGCGTCGCTAATGCGAAAGCCACATTTTGAAAGCCACCCGCCCTCAATCATTGAAACTTTTGCAATGTTCAAGAGCGAATGCGCGGCGCTAAGGCGAGAGCCACATTTTGGAGACGGCCCGCCGTCAATCCCTGAAGCCCTTTGCACATTTGTAAAAAGAATATGCACGGCGTTAAAGCGAGAGCCACATTTTGAAAACGACCCGCCCTCCATTTGTGCACCAGTTGTCACTTCTTAAGCTTCAGAGTCATCCGTGGTGAGGAAGTCTCGGGCGGAACGCCCGGCCCGCTCTAGAAATTGGCCCCGGGGTGCGACAAGGAGAAGGTATCGACAAGGAGAATGAATGGAGGCAAGAGGAGCAAGACGAGGAAACGTAGGACGAGGATAATGAGGACGAGGCTACAGAGACTGAGGATGAGGGGGAGGAGGAGGCATCCTGAGGCCTCGGAAGGCCATCGTAAGCAAAAAGGCGAGAAGACAACATGCATGGATGCGCTTAAGGTTGTTGAAAGATGTTCGACATCTCGGCCGCATCCTGGGGAGGCTCCGTGGCCAGCTCGAGCCGTCTTGGAGCGATCTGGGGGCCTCTTGGGGTAGGACCATCTTGAGCCAGCTTGGACTATCTTGAGCCATCTTGGAGGTCATCGTGGGCTCTCTGAGGCCGCTTGGGGGCCATTCGGGGGCCTCTTGGAGGCCTCTGGGGGGCCTCTTGGAGCCTTCTTGGGGCCTCTTGGGGCGCTGGTGGAACCCTCTTGGGGGCCTCTGGTGAGCCCTGGAGGGACCCTTGGGGCCATCTTGGAGGCGGTCGGGGGGGATACTCGATTTAGGTCCCCCCCTCGGGGGCCATGATCCTCGTGAAGGGTGACAGAACATGGCCCTCCCAATGGCCGAAAAAAGAGCCTCCGACACCTCGCGGTCCCTCCCCCCTCCCAAGAAACCTCAGGGAGGGGAGGGGGATGGTTCCCCTCCCCGAAGGGAAAGAGGGGCCGTGGAAGAGGAAAGGGGCCCTCCTTAGACCACCCGTCGCCCAGAGAGCTGGTGGGGTTACAAGATTCCTCAGCGATACTCAGATCAGCGATACCAAATGCTGACAGGACTGCGGCTCATACTGAGGCTGAACGGGGTGCGATTGCGAGTGCGCAGGACGCAGGGCTGGTTCTGGGCGGGGTCCGAGATCTCTAGAGGGCGCGTCTCCCTGAAAGCGCGCGCTCCCTCGTGGCCGAGGTCACCGCGGGGAGAGGGCCGGTGGTGGGCAGGACACCTCCGCACCGGTGCAGCGTGAGCTGGTCCCGGCCCGCCGGACGTGGCCAGAGTCAACGAGGCCCCGGGATCGCACGGCGTCGCCGATGCGCAGCCGAGTCATCGGCGATGCGGCGTCATCTGGAACCCGGTGTTCCGCCTTCTCCTCCTCGTCCTCCTCCTCTTCCTCCTCCTCCTCCTCCTCCTCCTCCTCTTCCTCCTCCTCCGCCTCCTCCTCCTCCTCCGCCTCCTCCTCCTCCTCCTCCTCTCTCCATCCGAGCATCGTCGATGCATCGGCGATGCGGTGCGATCTTGGAGCCCCACTTGCCAGGCGCCATCACGGGGGGAGGGGTCAGCGCCGACCCTTTTGATGTTCCAACCTGTTTTAGCCTTGATCACCAGAAAGATTTTTCGAGCACCAAGGTTCAGGGTTTTCACGTGTCGGGCCTTGGGAGGCGATGCTCGTTCCACACTGTTTCGATATTGTTCTGGGTGCTCGAAACTATTTCTGGGATGGGGTCCTTAAGTACGATGGGAGCAGCAGAAGCCGACCCACGAACCACGGGCGGGCCTCCGAAAGTTCATAGTTGTGTAGTTTGTGTTCCCATTTCCAAGCTGCGGGGCCACTCTGCAACGACATGTATGCTTTATCGAACCGTTGTGAGACTCATATATATCTCGAGATTCTGAGTGACTTCATAGTTCTGCCGAGGTGGCTACGTCTTGTAGTTTCGTTTTCTCTTCCTTCCAAGAGGCCTGACCTTCTTCACGACGGCCATGACAAGTGACTGGGAGCTGGGGGCCTCGCAGTGCCTCGTCCCATTCAGTGGTCGCCGAACCGCGCGCTAGAGCGAGCCGGCTCAGGAGGTCATCCTCGAGGGAGGCTACGTGTACCATTTGGTGCCCTTCTGCTTCAATCAGATGCAGGACTGCCTTGGCTGCCATTCAGGGTCTGTTTCGATCCGATCGGTGCTTCTCGATGCCGAGGTCGCCTGGCTCGATCCGATTCGATTCGATCTTCCGGCGATCCGATGTTTTCGTGGCGCTGTTGTGAATCCTCTTGCGACCGATCCGATTCGACTTCGACCCTGTGCTGATGTAGCCCGGCGCACACTCCGATCCGATTTGATTTTCCGATTCGATGATGTTTGATGTTGCCATTGTTCTTTATTGCAATAGTATCCTGACAGATGTCTTGTTGGGTCAATTGTGTTGCCTGCCCCAATGCAGGTCGCCTGACGGTTTGAAAATTATGAAGTCGTCGCCGAGCGCGCCAGTGGTGGAGTACGCAAGTTGGACGTTTTTTCGCGATTAATTTTTACAAGGTTGCACAGAATGCGTGTATCTATCTATCTATCTATCTATCTATCTATCTATCTATCTATCTATCTATCTATCTATCTATATATATACACATAGATTCCGGGGGAGCAGGCCCGGGGCCCGAAAACAGCTGCCTCGACCCTGCATGGGGGTACCGGGGCTAATTTTCTTTATGTTTTTACAGGGTGTCCGCGTCCTGGGCATCGGAGGCCGCCGCCTCCGACCCCCCATGGGAGGACGGGGCGGCCGGGGAGGTCCAAAGTAGTCCAGGAGGGCCTCCAGAGGCTCCCAAGACGGCCCAAGTGGTCCCCGAGTCGCCGAAAGATCGCTCCAGGACGCCCAAGATAGGCCCAAGACGGCCCGAGAGGCCCCCAAGGCACTCCACGACGCTTCAAGACGCCTCTCCAGAGCGCCTCAAGAGACCGAAATCGTAAATTTTGCGAAGGTTTTCGAACGATTTTGGCCTTCCAGCCTTTTCGGCTGTCCGACGTTCCAAGACGGCTCAATAGGCCCCCAAGAGCGCCCCAAGACGGCCCAAGAGGGCCCCAAGATGGCCCCAGAGTCGCCCAAGACAGCCCAACAGAGCCCCAAGACGGCCCCAAGATGCGCCCAAGAGGGGGACCACGACTCCAAAATTCGACCCTCCCGCTTAAAGAGTGCCCCAGGAGGCCCCAAGGAGACCCCAAGAGGCACCCAGGAGGCCAGAACGAGGCCTAAAGAGGCCACAAAACAGCCCCGAGGAGGCCCCACAACGGTTCCAAGACGGCTACCGAGAAGCTGCGAAATTGCCTTCACGACGTCCCCGACAGGCCAACCACGAGATCTAAACCAACACCCATGAGGCCTCTGACCCACCACCCAGGGCACGGTGGCGGGAGAAGTGACAGCACTTGTGCACAGCATGTTCCGGCGGGAATCTTCCAGAACACGCTGCAGGAGGAGGAGGAGGAGGAAGATCAGGAGGAGAGAGAGTTGGAGTGGGAGGAGGAGGAGGGGGACGAGGAGGAGGAAGAGGCTTCCAAGACAGCTCCAAGATAGCCGAAGAGGCTTCCAAGAGGGCCCTGGGCGGCCCACGAGGGCCCCAAGGCGGTGCCTGAGGCGCCCAAGACGGCCCGAGAGGGCCCCAAGACGGCCCCAAGAGAGGCCCAAGAAGGGAAACACGAACCGAGAATCCGAGCTTTCTACCCCGAGAGGTTCTCGGGAAGTCCCAAGAGGCCCCCAATCGGATCCAAAGGCCCCCAAGAAGCTCCCAAGAGGGTCGACGAGGTTCCAAGAGATCTCCCAAGGTGGCCCCAAGAGGCACAACTCATTGTTTTACGATTGGGCTTTGATGGGTTTTAATTTTGTTCGGCCTTTTGGCATCCCGATGCTCCAAGACGGCCCAAGAGTCTTCCAATACCGCTCCAATATAAAGGAAGAGGGCCCCAAGACGGCCCGCGAGGGCCCCAAGACGGTGCTTGAGGCGCCCAATACGGTCCGAGATGGCCCCAAGAGCCCCAAGAGATGCCCAAGAAGGGGAACGCGACCCAACAGCAGAGCGTTCCCCCCAAAAGGCCCACAGGAGGCCGCAAGAGGCCCCCAAGTGGTCCGACGAGGACCCCAAAAGCCAAGAGTGCCCTCGATGCGTCAAAACTGCTTTGAGGAGGCCCCCGGGAGGCTTCCGGATTGCATCAATCTGGCCGCAGGTGGGCTCAAGTCGGGCCTCCACGCAGCCAAGACGGCCAATGACGGCTTCAGATTGCAGAACCGATGCCCCCAAAGGACCCTCAGACGCCCCCCCCAGAAGCACCCAAGAGGTGCCTCCAACAGCAAGTTGACGAAGCATGCGGAACACCCCAGATAGCTTCTCAGATAGCACCCCGGATGCCGTCGCGCGCCTGTGTTTGATAGCGTTGTCCAAGATCGTCCAGCGCCCCCCGGCCTGGGCTAGAACCTGAGCGCGCGCGAAGCGCGCGCGATGGTTCTAGTACATATATATATGTATATGTTTATGTATATATATGTATGAAGATGTATGATAGCCAGCGTGGATTATCAAATGTGCAATATATGTTGTGAGATCTAAGCAGTGCAACTCACTTGCCGAACTTGAAGTTGTCAACTCCACTGCTCGCACAATCATCCCACCCACCCACCCGCAACTTGGTTTGCAAAACTCATGCGGGACCGAGCACAGATATCATTCCGGGGTCGGCTTGGAGCCTTCGGGGGCGTCTCAAGAGCGCCCCAAGAAGGCCGGAGAAGCAAGACGGCCGACGACGACGACGACGACGACGACGACGACGACGGCGGCGACGACGACGACGCCGACGTCGACGACGACGAAGACGACGACGCCGACGACGACGACAAAGACGACGACGACGACGTCGCTAACGAAGACGACGACGAGGGAGGAGGGAGGACGACGACGGCGACAACGACGACAACGACGACAACGACGACAACGACGACAACGAGGGAGGAGGGAGGACGGCGACGACGCGAACGACGAAGAAGGAGGAAGGACGGCGACGCCGACGACGACAACGACGAGGGAGGAGGGAAGACGACGACGAGACGACGACAACGACGACGACGACGACGGCGACGAAATAGAAGGGACGACGACGAGACGCCGACGACGGACGACGACGTCGACGACGAGGGAGGAGGAAGAAGGACGACCACGCGACAACGACGACGGAAACGACCACGACGCCAAAGAGGACGACCACGACGAACACGAGGAAAGACACAGGACGACGTAGGCGACGACGACGACGACGACGACGACGCGGGAGGAGGGAGGACGGCGACGACGGCGACGACGACGACGACGACGATGACGCAAGAGCGCGCGCGCACGCTTTTGTTGAAAATCCGTGTTGCGAAACCTTGTGTTTTTGTAGGTTTTTTGGACGCGCGATTCTGACATCTTTCCGAAACCGACGGGTTTTGAAGGATTTCGGCGTACGCGCGCGACGACGCGCGCGTCTGCACTTCGTCCAATTTTTTGCTGAGGATTCTCGCGACGGCACACGCGCAAGGGCGTTCGACAGATTTCGACATGCGCGCGCGACGCCCGTTTGGTAGCATGTTGTGAACATCTTGAGAAACCAATGGTTTTCTTAAGAGTTCGCAATAGCTCGCGCGTAAGTTCTTTTAGCACATCAGTGTTACGAAACCATGTGTTTTTGCATGTTTTGTGGAAACTCGATTGCGAAATCCTTCCGGCACCAAAGGCTTTTGAAGGATTCCGGCATGCGCGCGCGACGACGCGCGCGTGTGCACGTCGTCCAATTTGTTGCAAGGGATTCGCGAAAAAAGCGTTATGTTAGAACAACAAATGTCACCGCATAGTGTTTGCTTTCACAAACCTCAGGGGGGGGAACCCGGTTGGCCTGGGACATTGTGATTTCGTATTTAGGATGGACATGTGGTCAGAATCAGATGTGATTTACATACCCGAAAGGGGGGGCGGTAACGCCGGGGGGGGGTAGAGTCTATTCTCTTTTCAGGAATGAGAATTGGTGTGTGGAATATATGTGGTCATTCTATGTTGCGCAACCGATGTGGAACAAATATCTTGTGCATATCGATGTGGAACAATCGGATGTGGGACAGTCGATGTTGTGGCATACGCGTTGGAAATAGTCGGTTGTGCATTAGATTGGGTGCTATCATAATTGTGCAGCCTACGCTCTGCAACCTTGGGGTGCAATACATCGTGTGCAATCTATGCAGTGCAACGTCGGTTGTGCAATAGTTGTGGTCATTGTGGAATCTATGTTGATCGAAGTGTGTAGTACAACGTATTTGGAGAAATCTATGTTGTGGAATGTATGTGGGGGTGTTTTGTGCACTGCATTTGGTTCAATATGTGTTGCACAACCTCGGTGTTGCAATCTATGTGATGCAACCTATGTGGAGCGCAGCCTATGTGGTGCAACATGTGTGGTGTAATTCATGTCTGTCCGCAGTTGTGAATTCCACTGCTCGCGCAACCACACCACCCAGGCACCCGCAACTTTCCCAGCGGGCACTTCAGTGCGAGTCGGCGACTTGGGCGGGCGCGGTAATGGCAACGCTGACAGTGGTGGGCAGCACTCTGATGGTAGCAATGCTTGTTACAATGATGACAATGACGACGGCAAGGCCAGTGACGCCGCTGATGCTGATCACGCCGACGACGATCACGGCGTCTTCGCGTCGGTGACGAAAATTGTGTAGTTCAACATGCGCGCGCGGCCGACGCGCGAGACTTGCCCCACATGGTATTATTTGTCCCCCCCCCAGAACACGCGCGCAAGGGCAGCGTAATTGACAACGGGTTGTGGCCTTGAGGCGCGAACCCAGAGTAATTTACAATGGGTCGTGGCCCTGGGAAGGCGGACGCTGCGGAATTCACGAAGGAGCGCGGCCCTGGCACGTCCACTGGCACGTTCCGCAGCGCGTCCCCTTGGCACGTCCCGCGGTGCGTCCCCATGGCACGTCTCTTGGCACGTCCCCTGGCGCGCTCATGAAGCGTTCCGCGGCACGTTTCCCTGGCATGTCCCCCTGCACCGCCCAATTGCATATGCAATTGCGGTCCTGAGAAGCGGCTCCACGCCCTGCAGTTCTTA